AGGGGGCGTCTATATGGAGGATGTCCACTGTTGGATTGAAGGGAGCCGGGAGGAGGGTGGGAGAAAAAGTGTTCATTCCCTTCCTGAAGGACGAAGTGGCGGCACTCAGCACGCTTATCCGTCGGTGGGATGGAAGCCGGCGTTTGCCAGTGTCACTGAAATTTTGGCAACTGTTTTATTAATCAGTAACGCAACTCTAGAGGGGGCGTCTATATGGAGGATGTCCACTGTTGGATTGGAGTCCTCTGGAACCCTGTCTGCCTGGACCCCCAGGCTCTGAGCCAGGCGGTGGAATAGGTCCTAGTGAGCCCTGGCATCCATTGAGGGTATAGGGGGCGCAGAATTGGCTAGCACCTCATCTGAGAAGAGGAGGAAGACCCCTTCGTCAGGACACCCGCCTGGGTTTTGGGTTGGTCCACACACTCTGAGGTTGCCACAGAATGAGGTGGAGGAGGGGGACAGCTCACTAGAGCTATGTTGCCTCCGGGGCCTGGAGATGACTGTCCCAGAGGCAGCGAGTAGGTTAAGGTGGGCGACCAGGTCAGCGGAGTCGCCGACGGGGGGCCCGAGATACCAAAGTGGCGAAAGCCGGCTTGGGAAGGTCATGGCCCCAGCTCTGATGGTAAGTCCAGGGTGTCCAGAAAGACCATTACCCAGACGGTTGAGGGGGCCACGTCTGTTGCAGGACTGGAACAGGCATCGGCTGGACCCACTGCTGTTGCAGCTGCTGAGAGGAGGATCGGTGCTGGGACCTGGAGCGGTGCCACGAGCGGGATCGGGATCCCCGTGAAGACCACACCGACTCCGTCTTGGAATCGGACGAGTACTCCGAGGCAGACCATGGCGGTGCCAAAGTAGGCTGCTCTGCTGCATGTTGGGACATGGCTTCTGGTTTGCCATGGTGCTGGGGTGGAGAAGGCGGCATGGTTGAGGTCAGGGGGACTGCATGGGGTACCTGCACCACATCTGGTGCAGGGGATGACGACGGTTCCAGGCCTGGTGCCGGCGTGGGTGGGCCTAAGTTGGGCGCGGTCAGTGCCGTGGGCAGTGCTCAGTCTCGTGGCTCAGGTGCCGTCTCCTGGAGTGCCCTGGGACGGGAGTGGTGCCGTACATCTCCATGCCATCTGGACGCTGATGCCAACAGAGGGGAGGGCGATGAGTCAATAAGAACTCTGGTAGCCTCCAGCGCCTCTGGAGTTGAAGGGTCCGGGAAGTCCTTGGGGGTATGTCTACACTACCACCCTAGTTCGAACTAGGGTGGTAATGTAGGCAACTGGAGTTGCAAATGAAGCCTGGGCTTCATTTGCATAAAGCCAGGCGCCACCATTTTTAAATGTCCGCTAGTGCGGACTCCGTGCTGCGCGGCTACACGTGGCACGGACTAGGTAGTTTGGACTAGGCTTCCTAGTCCGAACTACCATTACTCCTCGTGAAACTAGGGTGGTAGTGTAGACATACCCTGGAGGAGTGGGGGAGGGGGCTAGTGTCCCCACAGTGAGAGGGGTAGTCTGCTGGCCAGGAAGGTCCAGGATGGGGACTGGCTGGTGCTGCGTGCCCCACTGGAGAGTGCACGGAGGGCGCGTGTCTGGAGGGAGACTGGCCCTGGTCAGGGCATTTCCTCCTAAATGAAGTCAGTGACAGAGCGGCATCGCGCCCTGTGCGGCACTGGGTAGACCCGGTGTCCGGAACTGTCCCGCACTGAGGCTGGTGCACTACCAGGCCCCGGTGCCGAGTCCGATGCCAGCGCTGGTTTAAGTGCCACTTCCATGAGGATAGCCTTAAGCTGCGATTCGCACTCCCACTTAGTCTGGGGCTTGAAGGCTTTACAAATTTTGCACACTGCTATGATGTGGGATTCCCCTCGGCACTTCAAACACTTGGGCTATGTCTACACTGGTGCGATCTTGCACCAGAGCTATGCAAATGAAGCTAAGCGTGGAATATCGCCGAGCCTCATTTACATATCTAATGAGCTGCCATTTTGCGGAAGACACTCTTGAGCAAGAAGGAGCTGTCTACACTGCCCCTTCTTGCACAAGAAAAACCCTCTTGCGCAATGCTGTTACGCCGATTACTTTCAGGAATAACGGCATTGCGCAAGAGGGTTTTTCTTGCGCAAAAAGGGGCAGTGTAGACAGCTCCTTCTTGCGCAAGAACCTCTTCCGCAAAATTGGCGGCTCATTAGATATGGAAATGAGGCTTGGTGATATTCCACGCTTAGCCTCATTTGCATAGCTCTGGCACAAGATCACGCCGGTGTAGACAGAGTCTTGGAGTGCAGGTCACTGCAGGGCATAGGCTTCGTGCACTTCCTACAGGGCCTGAAGCCTTGAGGGCCGGGCATGCCCTGCCACAGTGCAGAGCATGCGGAGGCAGGGTGTGAAGAGGTCATACAAAGAAAGACTTTCACTAAATTACAGGTACTTAACGGAAGGCTGATAACAATAGAGATCAAGGAGAAAACAACTTGAGCAAGAGCTGAAGGTTGTTCCAAGGACTGTCACGGCAGTAAGAAGGAACTGAGTGGGTCAGAGGCCAGCAGGGGTATATATGCACCGTTATATGGGTGCCACTCCAGGGGGTTTCCTGCTGGCTCTAAGGGTACTGCTGAGGGAAAAACTTCCGACAACTTGGGCACGCACGCGCGCACACACACCTATATTGTAATGCACATGAGCAATCACTCGAAGAAGAAGTGATAGATTTTATTACTGATAGAAGTATTTGGTGGACTGCTGCTAGGTGTTATAAAAGATGTGGTGGTAGCATGATGGCAGTAGCAGAGGAATTTGGCACTGACTCTATATAATAAATAACACAAGTGTGTTTTACTGATTTTTCAAACTGATCCACAGAGGGGTGCTGTCTGCGAGAAAAACAACTCAGAGTTCCTAGTCATTTAGATCAGCTAATTGTACCAAATTAGATTAAAAACCCTGGTAACGTAATGATTTCCACTAAGTTTACTTAAGAAAAATGCATTTTTTACACAATTTAGATGAAGGTATAAAGGCAGATAAATTTAGATGCAATCTGTAAGATTAACAAAAAAACCCAACACCAAACACACAAAATGTCTGGATTTATTCACTGTGCAGAAACTAAAGACTTGTTTGATATTAAAATGTACATATTTAAAATGAGTGCAATTTACTGTCTGCACAAATAAATTACATACTTGATGCCTAACTAAGCAGTCTCCCTTACAATTATCCTTACAATGATAGTTGTCCTGATAATAATTTTTATGGAATGTTTCGACTTATTTAAAAACACTTAAACCCCTATATATTTTTCTGCAATTCAATAACTGTATTTACACTGTTGTGGGATATTACAAATACACAGTAGTCATATTTTGCATTGTATATATTTGCTGTCTAAGATGTACATCTAATTAAAGGGAATATATGATGTGTGAATTATAGACACATGAAAATAAGAGATTAAAGTGCATTAAAATATGGGACATGTAGAAATATTGACATTCCAATGACAACACTAGAATACATTCTTTATTCAATGTATGCATGTTCTTTCAAAACAGTAGTAAAAAGTTTTTGTTTATCTCTAGCATGAGTGGTTTACACTTTGTTTTGTGGTATGCAACTATGCATGCTTTGTTGGGGCAGGGAAAATGTACACTTGCAATTTTGAAACAATAGTTTTTAAAAAAACAAAACAAAACTTTAATTCTCTTGAAGTTTTACATACAAAGAATAAATGAATTATGATCTTATTTTCCTCAAAAAATTAACATCTAACATTGGTGCAGTATTTTAAATTATATAAAATCTGCTGTGTGGTAAATAGACACGTTTTTAAACATGAATCCTGAGTAAGAGTGGAAAATATAGCATTATTGACTAAAAGAATAAAATCCCTTCATAATTAAAACAATTGAACAGTTTTTATGTTCTACCACAGAACAGCAAGGCAATATATAATGAGAGCCTTGTATTCAACAACTGTTATGAATACTCACTGCAAACCTGAATATTTTCAGCAAAAATAAAATGGCAGATTATGCACAACAGTAAAAAGCATCAGAAATAGATGCACCTGGAATTTTTTTTTTAAACCACAAAAATTAGAACTTAGCTTTTGTTTCACAGTCATCGAATGGTTAAACCAATCTGAGATAACTGCATTAGGCAAACCATTGCACTGAGTAGAGACCTCCAATCAGGCTTGTACTGCAACATTACTATTGGTTTTCATACAGGCACAGACTTCCTTTTTATATTCACATCCAAAAACAACATGAAGTACAAATCTCAAAATATTATTAGGATCTACCCAACATCACCACGTAAGCAAAAAGTTCTGGCCACTTTGGTAACTGAAGTCACTGAATTTTTTTAGAACTGGAGGTACCTCATGGAAAAGAAGAGCTCTGAATTCAGCAAGGCAGCATTATATCAAGGTATTTGTACACCAAGAAAGGCAGGGAGAACTTTGCATCAGGGTATACGCTATTCAATCTTTTGAATAAAGTTTTATATTCCATGTTGTGAAAGTGCATAGGAGTGGGATTCTTATAGAGCAGCAAGAATCCTCTCACAGTATTAAGGCCTTTCAAATGCAAGTTAACTGTGTTAGTCTATGGGTACGTCTAGACTACATGCCTCTGTCGCCAGAGGCATGTAGATTAGGCTACCAGACATAGTAATTTGAAGCGGCAATTTAAATAATCGCCGCTTCATTTAAATTTACATGGCTGCCGCGCTGAGCCGACAAACAGCTGATCAGCTGTTTGTGGGCTCAGCGCGATAGTCTGGACGCGCGGGTGTCGACATCAAAGGTATTTGTCGACTACCCAGGTATGCCTCCTGGGATGAGGTTTACCTGCGTGGTCGACAAATACCTTTGATGCCGACACCCGCGCGTCCAGACTATCGCGCTGAGCCGACAAACAGCTGATCAGCTGTTTGTCGGCTCAGCACGGCAGCCATGTAAATTTAAATGAAGCGTCGATTATTTAAATCGCCGCTTCATTTTACTATGTCTGGTAGCCTAATCTACATGCCTCTGGCGACAGAGGCATGTAGTCTAGACGTACCCTATAATCAGTACAGTGAAAACTGAATATATGCTTTCTGCTACTGTATTGTACATCAGTTCAAAGTCCTCTCAACATGATTTCTCCTCCCCTAGCTGTCGTTCATCTTCTTCATCTGCTTCCTCAATAACCTGAATTTCATCTGTTTGAGGTAAGGACACATTATCTGGCTGCAGTTTACTTCCTTCAGGTTTATTTTTTTCTTCTTCTTCAATCACTTTCTTCCACATTTTGTGATTTTCACTCAGATGGTGCATTAGCGGGCAAAATATTCGCCTTCTGCCTTTTTTTCTTTGTAGTTCTGTAAAATTACAAACATACTTTTTCACAAACAAACATAGAGTAATTATATTATCTGTTTATCAAACCCAGATGCTACTGTGTAAACCAGATGTAAGTTTGAACTCAACATAGCAAGTATGAAGTGGATGCTCCATCACAGTAAATATTGACATTCTATCTTAAATATCAAGTCCTTAAAGAAATTGGAAGATTAACTAACTTTTCTCTCAGGTTGTAAACATCTTTCTAATTTTAATTCAAAATTAATTGCAGGAGAAATTTTTATTCCTGCTTACAGAAAAGTAGCCAAAGTAAAAGGCAAAAATACATAATTACTATGAGGTAATAAATTCAACCAAGTATTGCCACTTCCAAATCCACTAAAAAACCCTATGTGCATCTTATCTTACTTTGACCAAAATCATCTTCCATTTCTTCATCTTCACTCTCCATTTCTTCTCCATTTTCATCTTCACCACTTTCTATATCATCCTCTTCTTCATCAAGCCATCGGCCTGGAAGCAAGCCAGCTGCATCACAGGAATTACAAAGGGGGCCAACTATATGAGTAATAAAAGATTCTTGTAATTTTGCAAGTTGAGGAGAAGAACGGTCCATGAAGGGGCTAACAGGTAATCCAAGGCTTGCTTCTTCATCACCCTGAAAATGTTATAAATTGAAAATTACCTTAATAGACAGTTTTTAAAAACTGACCTGACATTACGTGGATGGCACCTCTTTTTCTTAAAGAAATTTCTTTTTTAAAAAGCAACTATGTTCTTTAGCTAAGACAATTTATAATAAATTTGAACAGCTATTGGCCTGTTGTGGCACTGTCATGCATGAGAATAAGGTAGAGTAAATTCACCCCTCACTTTCCTGTGTAGCATCTCTGGGTCACTGCAGAGGGGCTATCTTTGAATCCAATTACTTATCTCATATATGTAGAAAGTGGAAGAGAAGGATAAGAATTGTGATTCTACGTAAGAAAATAATCTTATAATTTTGCAAACTGAAGAAAAGAACCAAAAGACAAGTAACTCTAAGGCACAATTTTTTCCCATTTGGTATTACGTTTGTACACGGGTCTGTGCCTAATGCAGGGGTAGGCAACAAGCATCCTGGGGCCAGACACAATTCACCAGGGTTAGCCCCTGATGGGCTACCAGAAGCTTTATTTACTTTTATATCTGCAGATATGGCTGCTCTCAGCTCCCGTTAGCTGTGGCTTGCCATTCCCAGACAATGGGAGCCACGGGATGTGGAGTGGTCCAGGACATCAATTCCCACAGCTCCCATTGGCCAAAATGGCTATTTGTGGCTAACAGGAGCTCTGAGCAGTTATACCTACAGAGGCACAGGAAAATAAAGCATATGGTGGCCTGCCAGTGGCTCATCCTGGTGAACCATGTCTGGCTTATTTTCCACCCCAGCCTAATGGCACAAAGTGGCCAATAGGATCTTTAACTTTTGTTCAGTGCTATTCCTGCCCAAAAACATTATCCATTTTTGTTCTTTTGAAATCACATTTTT